TAGGGACGAGCGGCAGAAGAAGAGCTGCTCTCGCCTGGGGGAGGGGCGATGCGCCGGGCTTTGGTTCGATTGTCGGAGTCGTCTCTTCTGCCCCCCATTCTTTCTTTTAGTTCTTTCTTGCGGCGTTCAATTTTCCGGAATGTGGGATCCCCTGATAGCCAGGCACAGAGCCGGTCCCACTGGTCGTCCGAAAAAGTGAGATTGCCATACTGATGATACGGGCGGTCTTCTTCTCGACAAAGGGGATAACCATAATAGTAATACTTGGCGAGCGTTTGATTGGGAAGTCGAGAGAGAGGAGGTTCCACCCTACTCCTTAGTACTGATAGGAGACCAGAGCACGACAATCAATCAACTGGCGCCGCAGGTGCAATTTCGTCCACGAGCTTTTGAGAAATGCAGCGCCTTGCAACAACTCAACTTTGAGAGAACGGAGTATGATCCCACTAACCTGAATCGCTCCATACCCGAGGGCTGCTTCTTCGAGGCTGGGATAGAGTCGTTATACTTGCCAGCAGACTTCAGCTGGATGGGACCAGCTGCCTGGGAACTTTGTAAACGACTACAATCAGTTGATATCTCGCAAACAGACATTAGTGAGATCTTAGGGGGGCACCTTGGCACACTGCTCACAATTGCAGCAACTTCGGCTTGCTAAAAAGGTGAGGCGTATAGGGCGAGAAGCCTTTCTGAACTGTGTGTCATTGGGCGAGCTACATGCTCCACCAACCTTGCTCCATATTGCCAGACAAGCCTTTGCAGGCTGCATACAGCTCTGCACACTCTCTAGGGTGGGTGGGAGATAAGACCACGTGGAGAGGGACGTACGCAGAGCACAATGCCTTCGAAAAGTGCAGTCAACTCGAGATCCCAAGGTGGGTCCGTCTTCTCCCAAAGCCATCCGACGGTAAGGAGGAGTGGGCTGACTTCATGAGAAGTTGCGCAGAAACGCACCTTAGGAAAACTTGACGGCCCAGACTTGCGCCCACATGCAGGTTCTGAGAATGCGACCAACCTGCCAATAAGCCTGCTAATCGGCCTCTGCCAACTGGCTGCCAATACTGAGTAGCTAGACAGTACCCAGGGCTGCCTCCCAAGAGGTGGTCTTGGATGAATACATAGAGTACAGATGTACAGTTCCTAGGACCTTGCATAGCGGCGTTTCACCTTCTCACGTTGTTCATGGGGCATGCATGGCTTCATTGTTTCAAGAGCGCTCGAATCGCAACATGGAGATGCCGAGCATATCGAGACATTTAGCCGACTGAGTGCGGCCTGCAAACTTTGCCTGTGTTCTCGCGCTTTGTCGCACTGCTTCGTCGTTGTCGCTCCCGTTGTTCATATTGGAACCACAGCCATGGAGCGAACACATGACACCCCCTCCCCCACTAGGGGGGGGGTGCTGCCGCTGCTAGACCTCTCGGTCACTTTGTTCGCCACAGTTCCCTTGCAGGTCATGGCCTTCGAAAGCTTGTAGTTCTCGATTGCCTTCACCCTCCTTTTTCCAACTGGCTAATTCTCGTAGGTTGGTTGAATACACACAACCAACTCGTGCTCTCCACGCAAGTTCCTCGGGATTTTGATTACAGTGAGTCGGAGACAAAACTCAATGTCACTTGTCCCAATCTCAATCGTCGCAATCTAAGCACCCAATACTTGTGCATAAACAATGCAAGTGCCACTCGGGACAATGCACGCCAATCCGAAGCTTCTGCCGGCACGGCCGTGCTCTTGGAAATAAGTCACCAAACTGCCGAGTAGCTGCTGCGATTGTTCGAAAACGTTCCCAATTCTCCTGCACATGTTTGGGTACTTTTCGCACACAAGGGCGATGATTCCTCTTGCCACTCAGTCCTCACTGCCCGAAGAAAGGAATACCGTTGTTGCCTGGCCATCACGTACTGAGCGCAAGTAGGAGAACGAATTCAGAGCCCCGTTTCACCGTGTTTCACAAATCTTTTGCTTCGGCTTACACAGCCCATCTGAGATACGAACCTTGCTGCTTTGGCTGTTTTGGTTTTGGGTTTTGTTTTGGTTGTTTGGTTTTGTGGTTTTTGTGCCTTGTTCTGGTGCCAGGCTCGTATCTCCTTAGTATCCCTATTTAATTCAATCAAGGTGACTTGTGCCTCTCGGCACACACAGCGCCTCCACCCGTGCAAAAAAGAAGTGAGGCCTAGCAAAGTTGTCGTTCAGCTGTGTCGGGAGCTAGGTTTTGACGCAACTGAGCTGCCCCTGATGAGGTGTGACCCCTTGCATGTCAAGCGTGATAGCTTACTTGCCCAATGTGCAAGCCCTGTACCCACTGTAGGGCCACTCACAGGTGTTCCCACGGGGCAACCCCTCCCCCCCGGTTGTACGCATTCACAGAAAGCGCGCATTCACGGTAGCGAGTTCGGAACGGCAGAAAGCGCTTGAGCAACGCCTATCCAAGCGAGCGCGCATTAGTGAAGTCAAACGAAAACGACTGTTGTAGCTGTTAGGTCTTTTTTGGTTGGCTGGTCATGCATGAGAGCATAAGCCCTCGCTGCTTACCAGGGAGTGGTAGAACGCCTTCTAAGGGAAAAATGATCTTTTCTTCACAGTGTCTGTGAAACATTTGTTTGTTATTAGCATGGTCCACGGTCATTTATTGGTGATCTATGGTCGGCTACGTTGGTTGGAGTTTTGATGCCGGTTATCTATGCTTATGTTTGATGTATAGACATATTTTCGGTTGTTTTGATTGTTCGCTTCGCGCTGGAAGCCGCCCGCACGGAGAGTGTACGTCTGTCTTTCTTGGTCTCTGTCTTGGTCGGTTTGTTTCAGTTGGGCAGGACACACGGACGAACACACCCACGATGTCAATAATGCAACATTCTTCGGGCTGCATAACGTACATCGCGAACGCTCAGCTCCGAAACCATACGGACAATCAAAAAAATACCAAAAACACAGCATTGTATTTTTTTTGCACCCGATCTTCCAGTCCACGCGAGCGTGCGCAACACCTCAGCATTTTCGGTGAAAACACCTGCGAAGGTTTTTTTTCAATAGCTCCTCCTCCTCCTCCTCCTCATCATCATCATCATCATCATCATGCTCACTATTGTGGTTGGACTCTGGGTTGTGACCTGGTTTATGGTGTTTTTTCTTCCTCTGTGTCCTCTTCCATGGCAGCTTGAGATGCCATGGTTGGGGTGGCTGTTTTGCTGCTAGTGGTTTTTTGTATCTTCACAAGTTATGGTTCTCTTATGAGGTTGTTTATTGTGGATATGTCTGTGTATCAGCGTTGTTTTGTGATCGTGGTATGCCACGTCAGGGGGTCCATCTTTCCTGAAAACAGTTCACTGCTGTTTTGGACAGTGTTTTCTCACCTGTTGACATTCCAAAGGCTAGAATTGTATGAGCCGAACATTGATGTTGATAAGAGTTCAGAACGGACATCAAGAACACATTGTCAGATATTTTAACCCAAGCACTCAGTGGATGAATGTCAGCACTTGTTCATGGATGTATACGGAACGATGTTTGCCAAGTCCGTGACATCGTGCCTGTAAGTTGCAACACCGGTGGCACAAAAGGATAGGACAAATCAGAAGAAGTAGCCTCAAGCTACCTGAATTCTCCTTGCTTTAGCAAAAACGTGCCAAAAACATCAGAATAAAGCCTGAAACATTTGCAACAAAGGATTTCTCCGATTTGTCCGCGAATCAGCCACTTTACAAGGACCTCTCCAAAGTCATCCGATTCTTTCTCAACCCAAAACCACGCAATTCAACGGCGACCTGCTCAGACCGACGTCGAGACCTCGCGGCGACCTCGACGACCGGGCACGGAACCAGGGCACGGTTGGCAGCGGCCCAGCTTACAACAGATACATGATGATACATGTACTGTGCATGGTCTTCGGATGTCTTCGGTGCAGGCATTTTTTCAAGGACTTGGTGGATTGTTGCAATCCTCTCGAAGCTCAAGCATGAGTAAAGCGCCCGACCTTACGACATTGTGCTGGACCCAGACTGTGTGACGGTGTGTTGGTGAGGCAATATTCATTGATTGGTAGGCCAAGCTGGCCCCCTGGTGAGGCACTGTGTCTCAACGATTCACACAGGTCGTCGATGGTTTTCATCCCAAACAGCCAACTTGCAGTGAACACACAGCGGGATGGTTCCCTCCAAAGTGCTCCAGTCCTGGATCTCATGATGTCAGTGAGGCACTGGTGAGGCTTGCAGTGGTCATTCGGATTCTGAGGCACAGTGCAAATAATGAATCATTTGGCTTGGTGATAATGCCCAGGTTGTGCCTGTCAACATGGCCAAATTCGACGAGCTGTCCCCCGACCGCAGAGTCCGCGCGGCAATCGAGGCTAGCCCAAAGAATGAACCAAGTTTCTCAAGAACGCTCTTGAAGCAAGAATAGGTATCCAACCTGTACAAATCACAACTGTTCTGAATTGGTTCTATATCTTGCATTTTGGTTCCCCCTACCTGTCCTTCAGGCATGTTCTTTTCGCCCTGTTCTTCCCGCCGTCCGCGGAGGTCTTCGTGCCGCAGGCTCGGCTCGGCTCTCGCCCGGTTCGTGCCTCCCGTCCTGGCGGACGCTGCGGAGTGACTCGCAGCGCCAATCCTTCGAGGTTCAAAGCCATCATATTTACCAGGCTACCGCCTGCCGACCCCAAGGCCAAGGCTAAGGCTATCAATCAGTCACGCCTCACCCCACGAGTGGGGTGAGGCGGATATAGATCGTATAGATCAACCCCCCTTGCACACATCTCTTCAATCAGAATTCGAGATGAAGACCGGGTCAAGGAGCAACGGCCGGGTCCAAGTTTTCGGCAAACCAAAGCATCGAAAGCCTCAGGAGAAGAAGAAAAAGCTGATGGATAGGCCAGCGAGAAGACCCAAGAATTGATGGATCCCATCCGGTTCGCAGGATTTGCCAGTTTGTCTCCAAATTTGGGTTCCAGTTCATGACACGTCGTCATCACTCAAGGTAGAATTCAACAGAAAAACCCAGCCTCAATGGGTTTTCACGGTGCTTGGCTTCAAGGATTTCGTCGTTGGGTTTTGGTTCCACCTGACGAACGACCGCCCTTCGGCTGCCGTTCGGCCCCTTGCGACGACGACTCCGATCGCACCTCGACGTCCGGAAGCTCCGCACCTCGAGGTCCGACCGATCGACGCGTGGAGCACGTCGTGACCTGGGTGACCCGAAAGCTGGGCACGTGTCGTTCTAAGAAGGCCAGGTGTTTTTTTTTCACCACCATCCCTGGCGTCGTTTCACTCCCAATCCGCGAAGAAGTCACTTTTGCAGCAAACATGGTCGGGGTTGGCATGGAGTTGGCACGGTGTTGACCGATCCACAACATCTATGCTGCTATGCTGAGCATAGCTGGAAACGCAGAACACCTGGAGACAGATGTAGGACGTAGGACATGAGGAGACCAACACTTCATTCAGCTTGTAAGCAGGACTTGTGGAAGTCTTGATAGCAGAGACCAAAGGAAAAAAACAGAGAACGAGCAAGAACAACGAAAGACAGATAGATAGACAGATAGATAGACAGACGGCAGGGCAAAGAAAACCCGCTAGGTAGAGATTGTTCGTCAGGTGGAGGGTACTGGCATGACAGCAAAGACTAAGACCCCCTCATGTGTAGCCGAGTAGACAAGGGTAGACAATGGTAGACTGGTTGATGCTCCAAAGCCTTTGGCTCCTGCCGAGCCCCGACCTCTTTGGGCTTTAACGAGCAGGTGGCGCGACCGGGCCTGGACGAACAGCGCGAAAGCGACGGGCCCTTTGGCCCTCGAGAACAAGGCCCCGGGGGCTCCGTGGCGGTCTGCGACAAGAGCGATGGCCTTCAATCTACTTCGGTTGAATCGAACATGCAATGGACGAATAGACTCTTTTTTTAATCTTTCCCACCGGTGATCCTGTGCAGAGTTTAGAAAGAAAGCACTGACAATTTCTGGGTTCGGATGGACCTGCAGATGCTGGACCTTTTTCTGAGTCCTGACAAGTCTGACGTTCGCCCAATTTGATTGGTTCGTGGGTGTACCCACGCGTGCCCTTCCAACCATGGAGAACCCAATACATGGTAGAGCAAACTAGTGGTTCCACGTTCCACCGCGCCGAGCACCAACATCGATGGACTGCACTAGTTGTTCAATCGATTGACGGCGGATCCTGGGTGGATCCGTTGAGACCTGGAGGTCATCGCCCCGCAAAGTGGATGTGGATTCACCATGATTCACCTACCATCGCCGATGTCATGGTGCTCAGTTCACGCGTAACAAGCCATCCAGCCGTGCAGCGCAGCTCTTGCTCAAAGTCAGCACAGCTTTTTTGTTCGCCGTTGGAGTCTGGCAACGTCGATGAGACCGTGGTTCCTCATGGGTGTGATGTCCACGGTGAGTGCATTGCAGGACAGGTGCCTCTTTGCATCCTTTTTCAACAACACAAGCCCTGACACGCCTCTCTTGGCGTATAGATCTTTCAAAGGATGTTGTCCTTCTTTCTCACCTGTCGTCACGCCACTCGTGTTCGCTCTCGTGTTGACTGTTCAGTTTTAAGCTCGAGGGATCCCCAGAAACGAGAGCTTTTGGCTTTTCAGGATGCTCAGCTACGAGAGATCTTCCACCAGCTTGGAATGGCCTCCAGCACAGCGACGTCCATGGCAGCCAATCCATGTGCAGCACTCAGCATTGGGTGCAATGCCAATGGTCAAATAATAGGGCTGTACCTGTCTGGCATTCAGCTGCCTGGTGAGATTCCTCCCGAACTTGGCCAGCTGAAGTATTTGGAAGGGCTTTACCTTGCCGATAATCAGCTCAGTGGTGAGATTCCACGTGAGATTGGAGAGCTCAAAAAGTTGCAGCTGCTTTACCTTCATGGAAACCGACTGAGTGGTAAGATTCCACGTGAGATTGGAGAACTCAAACAGTTGCAAATGCTTTACCTTCATGGAAACCGACTGAGTGGTAAGATTCCACTTGAGGTTGGACAGCTCAAAATGTTGCAAATGCTTTGCCTTCAACAAAACCAGCTGAGTGGTGAGATTCCACGTGAGATCGGACAGCTCGAAAAGTTGCAAATGGTTTTCCTTCAACAAAACCAGCTGAGTGGTGACATTCCCCGAGAGATTGGACAGCTCAAGAACTTGAATTGGCTTGATTTTAGCCAAAATCAGCTGAGTGGTGAGATTCCGCGCGAGATTGGACAGCTCGAGAAGTTGCAAAAGCTTCACCTTCATTTCAACCAGTTAAGCGGTTCGATTCCTTCAGAGGCCTTAGAGATTGGAAAGGTGAGGGGCTTTGAAGAGATTACTTTGTCTCACAACCAGCTAAGCGGTGACATTCCACGTGAGTTCGGACTGCTTGAGAAGTTGCAAAGGCTTTCCCTTGAAGACAATCAGCTGAGGGGTGAGATTCCAGCTGAACTTGGACGGCTTCAGAATCTGCTGGAGCTTTGCCTCAACGGGAACCAGCTAAGTGGTCAGATTCCCCGTCAAATTGGAGAGCTCGCGAAGTTGCGAAGGCTCTTCCTTCAACAGAACCAGCTGAGCGGCGAGATTCCCCATGAGCTTGGGCAGCTCAAGAACTTGCAATGGCTTTCCCTTTCCGAGAATCAGCTGATGGGCGCCATTCCCGATGAGCTTGGGCAACTCCAATATTTGGAGCAGCTTCTTTTTCATTCCAACCAGCTGACCGCGATGCCATACGTCTTCAACATGTCTTCCCTCAAAGTGCTTGACATCAGTGAAAACCAATTAAGTGGTGAGCTTGGGCGAGAGCTGTTTCCCCAGTTGCTCGAAGTCTTGGACTTGAGCCACAACAAGTTTGCTGGAGACATTTGGAACATCACAGACAATTTTTGTGCATTGATTCCAAAAGGTGGATCCTTGAAGGAACTTCGCTTGAATCACAACAAGTTCACTGGTCAAATACCGCCCTGTCTGATGCAATTTGAACGATTGAATTTTCTGGCTCTAAACGACAATCGTTTCCATGGAGCTTTGCCCGAGATTGAAGCATCGCAGCTTGTCATTCTGACCCTGCACAAGAATGCTTTGACAGGAGTGTTACCCAAAACCTTGTACACCCTTGCACACCTTGGAGTTTTGACGCTCCACGAAAACTCCATTGGAGGTGGCCTCTCACGCCTCAATTTGAGTGTACCGTGCTTGGACAACTCCAAGTTCAGACTATTTGGTATGTTGGACTGCAGAGCCTGCGGAACCAGTGCTTTTCAATTTCCAGGCGACATGCTTCAGCAGATTAAAGTAAACTGCCCACAAACGTTGGATGCCTGCCCGCACAAAGGCATGGTCAACCTCACGTTGCATCACAACCGCTTCTCGTGTGCAGTTCCAGAAAGCCTTGGCAACAACGAAGTTTCGGGCTTGGTGATCATGGGCAACATGCTTGGCAATGGAAGCTTGTTGAATGCGCCTTGGATCTCGCGAGAAGAGCAGCAACTGTTCTTGTACTATTCCCCTCAAGTTTGGAAGTCCACCATTCTGGTCCTGACAGGTTTTCTACTCCTGATGACTTCTGCCGCTTTATGCCGGAGAAAGCTCCAGACAAAACTGGAAGAAACATCTCTGGGCTTGACTAACGACATCGAAGCTCGCGTGGTGGCATCAAACCTTGCACTGTGGCTAGGCTTGTTGTGTGCATGCTTTTTGTGTGAGAGAATGGCGCGCACTGTATCCGCACGATCCTCCAAAAAGGACGCACACAGTGTCGTTTTGTTTTTCCTCGGCGATCAACCAAGGATGAAGGCTGCGGTCTCTACCCTTCTACTGGCCAGTCCACTTCTCTTGATCTTTGGTCTTGGTGGCAAATACTATGACTGCAGCCCGCTTTTGTGGCAAACGACAGCTGCAAACTTCAGTGCAGAAGGATGGTGTGCCCAGTTTGGTGTGATTGTCTTGTGGTGTGCAATGCAAGTGCTATTTCGTTGTATTTTGGCAGGGATCATCAAACCAAGGAGAAGCCATCGGAAAGCAGTCCGTGGGTGCAAGAAGAGAATCACCAGAGTTACTGCCTGGGTTATGTGGATTTGCATTGTAACCCTGCTGTCACTGCCTTCCATATTCTTCACCTTTGCCCAGTCGATTCCAGCACAGAATACATGGGACCTTAGTGAGGCTGGGCTTACCTTCTTCCACGCGACTGCCCCAGTGCAAACAGTTCTGATTGACATGGTGCTGGCAGTGCCATTGTCAAGCAAGTTTTCTAAACTGACAGGATTGAAGGCAGACCGATTGCTGATGACCTTTCGGTTGTTCTCTGCATGGCTGTTGGCTGCGCTTACAACAACAGCATTGGATGAGAACTGCTTGAGTGGCTGGAAACTAGCCTGGAAAGTTTGCGAAGAAGGATCCAAAGAAAACAGCAAATTCAACTGGAAGATTTATGATGAAGAACTTCTGAACACCACCCGAGATATTTGTACATTTACTGAAACTTGGTGGTCTGATGGTCGCTGCAGCCGTGCCATCGTGGGAGGTTTGACCCCATTCCTCCTCAAGAAGCTTCTCACACGCAGCATGTTGCAACCTTTGGTTTTATGGACGATGTGGCACTTCTCGCAATTGGAACCTGCAGGTGATCCAAGAGAAGGCCGGCACTGCAGGCTGTTTGGCGTTTGGCCTAAAAGCACCAAATCATTGATACCTTTGCAGCAGATGGCGTTGTTGACTACGCAGATGGAAGCTAGCAAGAGAGATTTAGTTTTGCTTCCACCAGAGAACTCCAGGAATGACCCAGCTGCATGGTAACATGACTTGTATCATTGGCATTTCCAACAGCCAAATCACCCCCCCCAAATCAACCCCCACCAAATCAACCTACCATCTTCGAAGTGCTCTCCAAATTGCAACAACAGCGTGTGGTCTTAATTGGTTTGTTGGTTTGCTCCGCGCCCATGCCAATGCCAAGGAAGTTTTGATGTTTTGGTCACCCTACGTGCCTTTGCTGAGCCTGGGCATCCTGGCTGCTGCTGTGACGAACTTCCTGATGTTTGACTTGGGCATTCGTTTTTACAAAGTGGAACTCCCTTTGGATGAGGTCAACAAGGGTGCCGCTTTGTCAGTCTCGTATTTGTACTTTGCGTTGGGAGCAGGATCTCTTTTCCAACTTTGGCATGCATTTAGCACTCAGATGTTCGGGCGATATTTTTTGCTGGCCGTTCACCTTGTGACCATGGGCCCTTGGGCAAACGGCTTTCTGCCCATCGGCTTGGTCCAACGCAGTTTCTGGGCTCCAAATGACCTGCGTGAGACAGGGCTGATCGAACTGACCCGCATAGACAGTGTCTCCCCGTGCGCAAAGATGGGGAACACCACCTGACTGCGCTGCAGGCCAAGCCAAGGCTCCCCAACTGCTCTTCTTTCTTCAGCCGCAGAACCGGCGGTCGTTGCGTGCGACCTGGTCGCACGAGCGCGACGGGCGGCGATCCCGGCCTCGGCCGGGCGGGTGAGAAAAGGGGCGGCGCCGAAGCAGATCATGTCGCGGCCGTGGACGGTCAGGTCCCGAGGAGGTCGATCTTCCGAAGCAGAACGAGGTTCTCCAAGCGGGTCGCCCAACCGCGTAGGCGCCTGAAAGGACACCCTGTGGGGTGCCACCGGGAAGGGTTGCCTTTCTGGCGAGTGGAACGCGATTGACGTTTTCCGAGCCCACTGGGTAAGTCTCGCAACCTCCGGACAGTTCACTGCCTGGAACCCCAAACAACTAGAAACAAATGGTTGTTCCAATATGGCAATTGAAATCCTTTACATATGGTTGTTTGGGGAAACATCCATTTCTTTCTGGTTGTTTGGGGTTCCAGGTGGGGAAGATGTTCTTTCTTCGCTGGGCCCTGAGTGGAGACGCCTAGTTCGTCGATCGATCCATAGTCAAGCGATTTCCACATGTGGGCCAGAGTGCTGTTGGTCAATCTTTAAGCTCCACCTTCCAAGTTGATTCGTCTCCATTTCTTGAGTGCTCTCCTTTTGGCTTCCAAGTTGATTCTCTCTGACCATGACCTCTGGAGACCGTGCCACGTTTGGCACCGGACCTAGACAGTTCCGCGGTCGATCTGTCTCCACAGATCGATCGCTCAACTGGGAACTCTTTAAAGGCAATTTAAGGCGTACTCAGAATTGAACTCTGATTTCAACACGAACTTCACTTGATCATTGAAGCACCACGTGCTGTAGCAGACCAGGCAGACTTGGGCGTGTTGTAAAACCATGTAAAACCAGTCACACATGAGAGCAACGCAATTCTTCACTAGCTATGTGCTCAAAGTCAGCGCAAGTACCGAAGAGGACAGGCGTCCTTTAGACTGTATCAGACGATGCGTCCTTGCTGCCTTCTAGCTGTGATGCTATTGACGGTGGTCTCGCAGGACAAGGCACAGGACAGGCGCTTTTCCGGCGCACGTGAAACGAGCGCGACCAAACGTGAGAGCATATTTTTTTCTGTTTTGATTCATAATGTTGCTTTTGTTTGCATTTATGCACCAATTGGACATATGAACATCATGAACTGTTTGGAAAGCTTTTCATGTTGAGCAGAAACCTTGCTTGTTTTTCAGGACGCTCAACTCGAAGAGATCTTCCTCCAGCTGGGAATTTCTCCCATCACAGCGACATCGATGGCGGCCAATCCGTGCGGCCAATCCAGCAGCATTCGATGCAATGCGAAGGGCGAAATCACAGAGCTCAACCTCGTTGACAAGCAGATGAATGGAACCAGTCCACCTGAACTCGGCCAGCTGAAGTCTTTGGAGAAGCTTCACCTTCACAAGAACCAGCTCAGTGGTGAGATTCCGGGTGAGTTCGGCCAGCTTCAGAACCTGCAAGTGCTGTGCCTGCACAAGAACCGACTGAGTGGTCGAATTCCGCCAGAGCTGGGGCAGATGGAACGATTGGAAAAGCTTGACCTGAGCCAAAACGAACTGAGTGGTGAAATTCCACGTGAGCTGGGGCAGCTGGAGAATTTGCAAGAGCTTTACCTTCTTCGGAATCAGCTAAGCGGCGAGATTCCTGGAGAGCTTGGCCAGCTCCAGAGCTTGCAAGCGCTATCCCTTTTCTTTAACCAGCTGAGCGGTGAGATTCCCCGTGAGCTTGGCCAGCTTGAGAACCTGCAGGTCCTTTACCTTCACACGAACCAGCTGAGCGGCCAGATTCCGCATGAGATTGGACAGCTCGAAAAGTTGCAAGAGCTGGACCTTGACACAAACCAGCTCGTGGGTGAGATTCCACAAGAGCTTGGCCAGCTCAAGAACCTGCGAGTGCTTTCCCTTTCTGAGAATGAGCTGATAGGTGCCATTCCGGATGAGCTTGGGAAACTCCAATATTTGGAGCAGCTTCTGTTTCACACGAACCAGCTGACTGGTCTGATCCCCCCTGAGGTCAGCCAGCTTGAGCGGTTGCAACGGCTCGATTTGAGCCAAAACCAGCTGAGTGGTGAGATTTCCCATGAAATCGGAAAGCTTAAGATGTTGCAATGGCTCTTCCTTCAACAGAACCAGCTGAGCGGTGAGATCCCCCGCCAGCTTGGAGAGCTCGAGCACCTGGAAGAGCTTTACCTATCCAAAAACCAGCTGATAGGTGCCATTCCGGATGAGCTTGGGCAACTCCAATATTTGGAGCAACTTCTTTTTCATTCCAACCAGCTGACTGCGATGCCATATGTCTTCAACATGTCTTCCCTCAAAGTGCTTGACATCAGTCGCAATCATTTGAGTGGTGAGCTTGGGCGAGAGCTGTTTCCTCAGCCGCTCCAAGTCTTAGATTTGAGCCACAACAAGTTTGCTGGTGATATTTGGAACATTACAGACAATTTTTGTGCATTGATTCCAAAGGGTGGATCCTTGAAGGAACTTCGCTTGAATCACAACAAGTTGACTGGTCAAATACCACCCTGTCTGATGCAATTTGAACGATTGAATTTTCTGGCTCTAAACAACAATCGCTTCCACGGAGCTTTGCCCGAGATTGAAGCATCGCAGCTTGTCATTCTGACCCTGCACAAGAATGCTTTGACAGGAGTGTTGCCGAAAACCTTGTACACCCTTGCACACCTTGGAGTTTTGACGCTCCACGAAAACTCCATTGGAGGTGGCCTTGAAGGACTCAATTTGAGTGTCCCATGCTTGGACAACTCCAGGTTCAGAATGTGGGTCTATTGGAACTGCAAAAGGGGCAGCTTGATCAGACCATTGCTTTCGGGCGACGAACTTCAGCAGTTGGATGCAAACTGCCCACGATCGAATGGAGCCTGCCCACGCAATGGCTTGGCCAACATCACCTTGCATCACAACCGCTTCTCATGTGCAGTTCCAGAAAGCCTTGGCAACAGCGAGGTTTCCAGCTTGGCGATTATGGGCAACATGCTTGGCAATGGAAGCTTGTTGAATGCGCCTTGGATCTCACGAGAAGAGCAGCAGCCGTTCTTGTACTATTCACCTAAAGCTTGGAAGTCCACCATGCCCATTTTGACTGGTTGTCTAATGTTGACGACTTTAGCAGCTTTGTGCCACCAAAAGCTCCGGAGAAAACTGGAAGAAGCGTCTCTGAACTTGAGCAACATCAGCGAAGCTCGCGTGGTGGCATCAAACCTTGCACTGTGGCGTGGCGGCATTTGTGCGTGTGTCGGGAGCCTTTCGGTTGATGAAAGCATTGATGACGGCATGTACCAAGAGTGTTTGATCAAAAACTGTAGTTAACAACAGTGTTGACCATGGCTTGAAGAATGTCGATGTTTTTGATGCAGTTTTCCTTTGGAGCAATATAATATACCCCATTGATCTCTATTGATCATAGATAGAACCAATAGCAGAGAATGAAACAACAAACTTGTGGGAAAACCACACTTTCTGTGGAATATGTACGTGCGTACTGCTGTTTCGGGTTGACACAGATAGATGGTAGCATACATGCATTTTAAACGTATGTCATGACGGGTAGTTGTATTCACGGGGCCACATACTGTACTGTACATGGTTCTCGAAGTTGTTTCCACTTGCGTTGGTGAGTGTGTGATCATTCATCGTCGCAGGACGCTGCTGCTGTTGTTGTTTGCATTCATGTTTCTATGGTTCCCAATCCAAGGATGAAGATTGCAGCCTGTACTTTTCTACTGGCCAGTCCACTTCTCTTGATCTTTGGCCTTAGTGGTAAATACTATGACTGCAGTCCACCCTTGTGGCAAACGACAGCTGCAAACTTCAGTGCAGAAGGATGGTGCGCCCAGTTTGGTGTGATTGTCTTGTGGTGTGCAATGCAAGTGCTCTTTCGTTGTATTTTGGCAGGGATCATAGTGCCAAGGAGAAGCCATCGGAAAGCTGTCCTTGGGTGCAAGAAGAGGATCGCCAGAGTTACTGCCTGGATTATGTGGATTTGCATTGTAACCCTGCTGTCATTGCCTTCCATATTCTTTACTTTTGCCCAGTCGATTCCAGCACAGAATACATGGGACCTGAGTGAGAACTTGTTGACGTTTTTCCAGATGACTGCCCCAGTCCAAGCTGTTCTTATTGACATGGTGCTGGCAGCCCGAATATCAACAGCATTTTCTAGGTTGACTGGAGTCAAGGCAGACCGATTGCTGATGACTTTTCGGTTGTTCTCTGCATGGCTGCTGGCTGCGCTTACAACAATAGCATTGGATGAGAACTGCTTGAGTGGCTGGAAGCTAGCCTGGAAAGTTTGCGAAGAAGGATCCAGAGAAAACAGCAAGTTTAACTGGAAGATTTATAATGAAGAGCTTTTGAACACCGCCCAAGATATTTGTACGTTTACTCAAACTTGGTGGTCTGATGGTCGCTGTAGCCGCGCCATCGTGGGAGGTTTGACCCCATTCCTCCTCAAGAAGCTTCTCACACGCAGCACGTTGCAACCTTTCGTTTTGTGGACGATGTGGCACTTCTCGCAATTGGAACCTGCAAGTGATCCCAGAGAAGGCCGGCACCGGAGGCTGTTTGGCGTTTGGCGCAGAACAACCAGGTCATTGATACCCTTTCAGCAAATGGCGTTGTTGACCACGCAGCTGGACGCTTGGAAGAGAGAGATTCAAGCAACCCCTTGAAAGGATGTCTTGGACAATGGGAACCTGTGTTTGTACATTCATGTACACCCTGGCTTTATCAACCTTCCGGCTGTTTTCTGCGGCCCTGCCAACACAACAGCTTTCGTTTTCATTACCCTCCCTCCAGCAATCATGGAAGGGGATGGGATGGCCGCTAGAAACATCATGTTCCTCTGCAAACAGGAGGTTTTCCACTTCCATGTTTGCCTCAAGGAGGGTAATAGCTTTGATGTGCTTAACGTTTTACTTCTGTGGGATGATTTGGGATCCGATGGTTTTTGGGATTGATGAACGAACACCTTGCATGCCTGTTTTTTTTTTTTTTTCCGATGCTTTTGAATCAGTGGTGGAATTAGGACCATTAATCCAGTTCGAGTTTTAAGCTCTTTGACTTTTCGTATCAAGTTCATTATGTTCGAAAGATAGAGAAACGAACTCAACAGCAGACCATGTTTCACACTTCTCACTCTAGGTCGTGCTATCCGCACAAAAGTGGGCGCGATCCATTGAGCCGAGGATTCGCGGAAACCTGTTTTTTTGTGGCTCCAGCATGGCGGGACTGGAAGGCGGAGCGCGACGCTGGGGGTGGCACCCAGTTGGCAAGGAGGATGATGACCACAGAGGCTGCTTCAACAGCAGCTACGGTGGCAGCGCAGCTGACTGAGATGAAGAGATGAGAAGAGCTGGGACAAGATCCTGAGCATGGCCCCTTGAGCAATACTTAGCGTCCTTAGACTGAGATTTTTTTGAAGGGATTTGATGACTTGAGTTGACGCCAGGTCTCATGGCAGATGAGGAGAAGTCCAGACTCAATCACCGTCCGCATGGTCCTCGACTGGCTTTGGCCTACCCGGCTTGTCAGCTCCTTGCAACCTTCGCCATAACCGCTCCTGGGGCATCCTGAATGTCCGTCGCTTGAAGAGGGTGAAGCTGAGCGCATGTTTTCCGAGAAGTCACACCAAAAATATGGTCAAGAGAGAGCCGGAGAGATGTTTGCGCTTAACTGCACGAACTTGAAGAGACAGCAGATTGACGTGAGGAGAATGGGGGGAAGGCAGAGGAGGAGATCGGACACCGCACCAAGCCATGATGCCACAATGGAGGAGGAACCCAAAGCAGAAGGGCAACGGATGGAAAGAGGCGCAACCTATTCACAATGCTTTGATGCCTTGGGGTTCAACACATAAGGCTGAGCGGGCGTGAGAAGACGGGTGCCACCCTAGCAGGCGAAATTTGCAGTGCGCATGAAATGTTTGTCAGGCAACTTGAGGGGTTGGTGCAGCTTCAGGTGTCAGAGTCCTCGATCTATTCAACACTCAGAGCGAAGGCCCTTGAGCCAGGCATCAATGGAAACTGAAAGGCAAGAAAGGCAAAGAGGAAGGAGCAGAAAGGTAAGGGCAAGCAGGGTTCACGGAAAGGATCAGAGGAGACGGGTGGATAATCAGGCAGTGTCAGGCTGTGGTGGAGGACAGCCAGACAGGAGACTGCAGGGCAACGACTTCATCAAGTTCGACTCCCACAACCAGCAATCAAGAGGATTTCACCCCATCTTGATTCAAGAGCTTTTGTTGCTTGACCTCAGGAATCTGAGCCCCAGCAGCAGTTCACGATCAAGGTCGACTTCCACCTGGAGGATGAGTGTGATGAGAGTATACAGTGAGGAAGTTCAAGTTTTGGCGGTGCACGCAGTGCGTACCGCAGCAAGGTAGGCCCGCAGACGTGGCAGAGTTGTGGTGCTCTCGGGTACAGACGCCGCCGTCCTTCCAAGCCATTTAGTCGGACTCGGGACACAAACTTCAATGAGGGAGACGAGGGGCGCCAAGTCGACCTCACTCTCCCCCACTCAAAGCCTATTCCTTCTAGTTGTTCTCCCACGAAGATCACTGTCAGAACCTATGCGTTCTCCTCCAAGCCATCTATGCGACTGTCCTGGTCCATCCACCCAAACGTGGTTCCGCAGACTAGCTCACCTTTCGTATCAACAGAGGATACACCATGAACTAGTGTTGCAATGCTGAAGACGCAGGGGATCAGCGGTATGAAGAGGACCCGGCAGTTCTGAGACGGGGAGTTGGGAGCAGTCCCTTTGAAGTCAAAGAAGTCATGACGTTTTGTCAAAACCTTGGACGTGATGAAGTGTGGTGTGCCACTTGGGTAAGTGTTAAGTTCTCAAGACACTGCAGGTGTTTCGAGAATTGCTGGAGGAGGAACATGGAGGAGTTGAGACTTTGGCGACCAAGTTTGTCCATGATTGGCGTATAAAGACAAGAAAGTTCTAGAAAGGAAGAGGAAGCAGTGGTTCGAAGGGTGAGGTTGGTGGGACGACGCGTATACACTCACCTAGTTCGAGAGCTCATGCACTGAAGTTGCTTCCGCTGCGTGTCCTGATGGACTGGACCACGAGTTAGTGTATAAATCAAAGAAGCCCTACAAGTCGAGGGAAGGTTCAGCGGCTCAGCGCGTGAAGAATTCTTGTGGACGACAACGCAAGCAGGTTCATTCACTTGACAAAATACCTAGAGGGGAAGGGCTGCAGTTTTTTGTCGCGGAGCTGAAGCAGAGGTTTGAGATGGTTTCAGATTTTTGTTTTAGTTTTCAGAGGAGTGGAGCGGGAGATGGGTTTCGGTTCCTTAAGAAGACCTATCGGCTTGGACTAGGTGGTTGTGTACTGCTCATCATCACGCAGCGCCAACCAACGAATGCAGCCGGCTGTCTCCACTGCTCAGCTTCAAGCTGATCCCTGGAACTGAACACCACTCTGTTCACAGCATGATTGGCAGATAGCGTTGACCGCGCCCAAAAAGCGACCCCTCTGTTGTCAACGTGCAAATGCCTTTTCACACATCCATGCTGAGGACTGTTGGGCAGGACAAAGAGGCTGCGAGTTTGGAGAAAACTCCGCCACGCTCGTTGTAAGCTGGTTTGGTGCCAAGAGATGGGGTCTCGCAAGGAAGTACTTAGCGTCTCTAATCCGCGCAAAAACCTCTCAGTGAATGCCCGCAAGCGCATTTGAGGGACGAGAAGAAAAGAAGTAGACGAGAGCTTCAGAGGCCAAAAGCTCTAGAGAAGTTGGCGTTTGCAAGCGGCCTTGTCAGTGGCTGCAGGAAGGACAGGGGTCAGGCAGGAGGAAAATTTGACCTTTGCCTGGATGTGTGAGGGCTTCACGCTGAACAGAGAACTCAAGAGGTTCAACGCAATGAGATAGCTTCATTTCGTTCAGACCCGGACACTCATAGGAAAAAGTATAAGACAGGCAAGAAGCAATGCAGATGGACTATTCTCAGAGGCTGCGGAGAGCAACGGTCAACCAGAGCGGCTGTGTGGAGGCCTGAGGCGGATTACAGCCTAAAGTCGGGTGGCCAAGAAGGATGAGCTTCTGAGAATGCTCACAGAAGTGGCAAGGTTCATTACAGACTGAGCCTTGAACCGAGCGCCAAAGCAGGATTGCGAAGAGAGAGAAACGAACGCAACTGCGCAGCGCACACCCACAGGCCATGTTTCACACATCCACCGCATGCCGCGCTATCGGCGCACAAGTGGCGCGATCCGCTTCGTTTTATTACCATGATTTTGCAATCTACTTGAGTACAGCAAAAGCTTTCATACCATTGAAAGCAACAAAGCGCTCACAACATTAAGCAGCCATGTGGTACTAAGATTAAAGACAAAACATCAAAGTAATTCCAGCTTTTATCTTTTGCTTGCGCAATTTTAAGCTCTGTTTTTTTGAAGATTCCGCCATTGATTCGAGAACAACATATCATGCGAATTAAACGCAATAAACGCATTCAATTCAATCCACTCAACAGCGATTTGATCCCAAGGTGGGGGGTATACAGCACACAAAGGCACAACTCCAGTGGTAAGCCCTTGTGTTTTATATGTTTCAATTGTGATAGCACAGTGTGCAAAGACAACCCCGAATTTTTGTTCTTATCTTGGCACGCGACATGATTTCCAAACCCGTTAAAGATATGTTCTTGACAAATAAAATCTTCAAATACTGAATCATTAAACACACACACATATATATACATATATATGTGTGTTTAGATATTGTTACAGCTCTCCAAGAGTGACTGGAAACAGGGATCCTACATAACCAGTTGAGTTTTTCATTTGTTTTTTGCGCAGACACCGACCGGGTTCAACCCCAGAAACACAGGGCAGTTACGACCATGATGAGTGCAGCTAAACTTCTCGATATAACTCTTTTGACCCCCCCCCAGAACCTTCAAGAAAAGATGTGTGCAGTCGCGACGTAGCTGAGGAGGTGTTGATGTTTTGGTCGCCCTATGTGCCTTTGCTGAGCCTGGGCATCCTTGCTGCTGCTGTGACGAACTTCCTGATGTTTGACTTGGGCATTCGTTTTTACAAGGTGGAACTCCCGTCAGATGAAGTGAATGAGGTTGCTGCTTTGTCAGCCTCGTACTTGTACTTTGCGTTGGGAACAGGATCTCTCTTCCAACTTTGGCATGCATTTAGCACTCAGATGTGTGGCCGATATTTGTTGCTGGCCGTTCACCTTGCGATCATGGGCCCTTGGGCAAATGTTTTCTTACCAGTTGGCTTTATCACGCGCCGTTTTTGGACTTCAGATGACATGCGTGAGAGAGAACTGATGGAAATGACCAGTATGGACAGCACCTTCTCCCTTCAGCCTGGCCAATCCCTGACAAGCGCCAACCAATGACTGCTCTCGAATGCCTCCGGCCTGTAGCTCATTTGCATTGAACTTGGATCATTGCACCACTTGCAGTAGCAAAAGACCATGCAGACTTGGGCCTTGGGTGTGTTGGGAAGCCAGTGACATATGGAAGTGTGCTCTTCTTGCGAAGAGGCCTTTGGGGACCCAAACTCGGCATTCACCCAAGACCCAAATAAGCCTTCGGAAAACAGTAGTGCAAAAAGACACATCAAACCCACGCCATAACCCCGCGCCACAGTACAAGCAAGCAATTCCCACCGGGTTTCCTCCCAAAGCGTCTCATGAGCGGTCTCACCTGCGATGCCTCAGGTTGGTTCTTAGCCATCGAAGGGAGATCATGATTCGCTGCTCGCCCCATTTGCGCACCATAAGACGTGAAAATCAGCAAGACATTTCGGGTCTTTTGTTGTTTGGGAACCCTCATGATGTAGAGTCCTTTTTGGTTCCGGAGGTTCTTTTCGGCACACCTGGTGGATCAGCCATATCAAACCCCTGGTTGGTGTTTTTGTTCCAACCTACAAACTCCCTACGGTCGACAGGTCGACAGGCCCAGGGGTCTTCTCTGCAGGTCTCTTGGGGCCGAGAAGCCCTCCAAAGGCCATCTGGTCTCGCCCTTCTCTGCCAGGTCGCAGAAGGGTCTGATGGCCGAGTTGGTCTGCCGCTGCGCGGTCTGCTGATGCTGCGCGGACTGATGTCAACCGGACCTCCTGGAGAGGCGATGCGTGAGGATCTCCACAGTTCATTCGGATGTTTCCGCAAAAACGGGCCAGAGTGCTGCCAATTCAATCTTTAACTCCTTCGTTGATTCTTGTCCATTTGTTGAGTGCTGTTGGTTTCCAATCTTTATCTCTGACCTGGTGACCTGTTGGATTGATTGGGTTCTTTGGAAGGTTGAGATGAGCAGATCGCTGAACTGGGAACTTGATTGTTTGACTTTGCAAAAGAGTGCTGGGCAGCCATTTTTTAGAACCCGCCTAACAGAGAACAGTCTAAGGGAGCGGCAAGGAGAGTGCTTTGCAGCCCGTTAGACTCGACCCATGTCAGTGAGTCGGATCCTCTCATGTCGGTCTTCGTTGCGCAAGGCACTCAACGAGGAATTTCGCTGGGCAGTTGCACAACGAGGCTTGGAGCTGGGTATGCGCGACAGAAGCTGTGGACTTGCACCCTTCTGGGCTTTGGGAACACTCATGTTCAGAGGTGACACGAGAACTGCTATTATTTCTCCGCACCATTTTTCGGTCTTCAGGCCGAACCCTTGCTCGTTATGCATGGAATCGGAACCCCTAAGAGCTTGTAGCCTTTTCGTGTCTGAGAACTTCGAGAAGAAAGCACCCCCGGGGCGCTGGGGTGAACTAACCCCCTGCTTCAACCTTCAGTTCGTCAGCTGGTGCTATCTTGGCGCTCAAAGTCAGCACTTTTGTGCCGAACCTTTTGTCCAACACGAGGGCCGTGGGCCCTGCAGATGATGCGTGCAAGGGCCGTGGGCCTTGCGACCGCGCTGTTTTCGACCGTGGTCTCGCAGGACGGCCGGGCGCGACGTCGCCCCGGCGCGTAAGAGGTGAAACCTGAGAGCCTGAGCTGAACACTTCTCCAGCCTTGAATGGTCTTGATTCATGTCGCTTTTGGTTGGCTGCTTGCCACAGATTTCAGCGCTGAACAGGCTATGAACATCATGAACTGTTTGGAAAGCTTTTCATGTTGAGCAGAAACCTTGCTTGTTTTTCAGGACGCTCAACTCCAAGAGATCTTCCTCCAGCTGGGAATTTCTCCCAGCACAGCGGCATCGATGGCGGCCAATCCGTGCGGCCAATCCAGCAGCATTCGATGCACTGCGAAGGGCGAAATCACAGAGCTCAACCTCGTTGACAAGCAGATGAATGGAACCATTCCACCTGAACTCGGCCAGCTGAAGTCTTTGGAGAAGCTTCACCTTCACAAGAACCAGCTCAGTGGTGAGATTCCGGGTGAGTTCGGCCAGCTTCAGAACCTGCAAGTGCTGTGCCTGCACAAGAACCGACTGAGTGGTCGAATTCCGCCAGAGCTGGGGCAGATGGAACGATTGGAAAGGCTTGACCTGAGCCAAAACGAACTGAGTGGTGAAATTCCACGTGAGCTGGGGCAGCTGAAAAATTTGCAAGAGCTTTACCTTCTTCGGAATCAGCTAAGCGGTGAGATTCCTGGAGAGCTTGGCCAGCTCCAAAGCTTGCAAGCGCTATCCCTTTTCTTTAACCAGCTGAGCGGTGAGATTCCCCGTGAGCTTGGCCAGCTTGAGAACTTGCGATGGTTTTCACTTCAATTCAACCAGCTGAGTGGTGAGATTCCCCGTGAGCTTGGCCAGCTCAAGAACCTGCAGGCCCTTTACCTTCAGAGCAACCAGCTGAGCGGCCAGATTCCGCGTGAGATTGGACAGCTCGAGAAGCTGCAAGAGCTGGACCTTGACACAAACCAGCTCGCGGGCGAGATTCCCCATGAGATTGGCCAGCTCAAGAACCTGCAGGATCTTAAGCTTCTCAGGAACCAGCTGAGCGGCCAGATTCCGCGTGAGATTGGACAGTTCGAGGAGTTGCAAGAGTTGCACCTTGACACAAACCAGCTAGAGGGTGAGATTCCACGAGAGCTTGGCCAGCTCAAGAACCTGCAAGGGCTTTACCTTCACCTGAACCAGCTGACTGGTCCGATCCCCTCCGAGGTCAGCCAGCTTGAACAGTTGCAACGGCTCGATTTGAGCCAAAACCAGCTGAGTGGTGAGATTCCCCATGAAATCGGTAAGCTTAAGATGTTGCAATGGCTCTTCCTTCAACAGAACCAGCTGAGCGGTGAGATCCCCCGCGAGCTTGGAGAGCTCGAGCACTTGGAAGAGCTTTATCTATCCAACAACCAGCTGATAGGTGCCATTCCGGATGAGCTTGGGCAACTCCAATATTTGGAGCAACTTCTTTTTCATTCCAACCAGCTGACTGCGATGCCATATGTCTTCAACATGTCTTCCCTCAAGGTGCTTGACATCAGTCGCAACCATTTGAGTGGTGAGCTTGGGCGAGAGCTGTTTCCTCAGCTACTCGAAGTCTTAGATTTGAGCCACAACAAGTTTGCTGGAGACATTTGGAACATTACAGACAATTTTTGTGCATTGATTCCAAAGGGTGGATCCTTAAAGGAACTTCGCTTGAATCACAACAAGTTCACTGGTCAAATACCACCCTGTCTGATGCAATTTGAACGATTGAATTTTCTGGCTCTAAACAACAATCGCTTCCACGGAGTTTTGCCCGAGATTGAAGCATCGCAGCTTGTCATTCTCACCCTGCACAAGAACGCCTTGACAGGAGTGTTACCCAAAACCTTGTACACGCTTGCGCACCTTGGAGTTTTCACGCTCCACGAAAACTCCATGGGAGGTGGCCTTGAAGGACTCAATTTGAGTGTCCCATGCTTGGACAACTCCAAGTTCAGAATGTGGGTCCATTGGAACTGCCAAAGGGGCAGCTTGATCAGACCATTGCTTTCGGGTGACGAACTTCAGCAGTTGGATGCAAACTGCCCACGATCGAATGGAGCCTGCCCACGCAATGGCTTGGCCAACATCACCTTGCATCACAACCGCTTCTCATGTGCAGTTCCAGAAAGCCTTGGCAACAGCGAGGTTTCCAGCTTGGCGATTATGGGCAACATGCTTGGCAATGGAAGCTTGTTGAATGCGCCTTGGATCTCGCGAGAAGAGCAGCAGCCGTTCTTGTACTATTCACCTAAAGCTTGGAAGTCCACCATGCCCATTTTGACTGGTTGTCTAATGTTGACGACTTCAGCTGCTTTGTGCCACCAAAAGCTCCGGAGAAAGCTGGAAGAAGCGTCTCTGAACTTGAGCAACATCAGCGAAGCTCGCGTGGTGGCATCAAACCTTGCACTGTGGCGTGGCGGCTTTTGTGCGTGTGTCGGGAGCCTTTAGGTTGATGAAAGCATTGATGACGGCATGTACCAAGAGTGTTTGATCAAAATCTGTAGTTGACAACGGTGTTGACCATGGCTTGAAGTATGTGTGTCCGTTTTTGCTGCAGTGTTCCGTTTGAGGAATATACCCTATTGATCATAGATACAACCAATAGAAAAAATTGCGAAAACAATCTCGTAGGACACCCAAGCTTTCACTGGTATACGTACGTGCATGCTGCCTAGGCTGAGACACAGACAGGTGGTAGCATCTATGCATTTTTTGCACTTTGTCATGACAGGTATTTTTATGCACGGGCACACGTCCCATACATGGTTATATATGAATAACATGTTTCTATTTCTTGTTTCTACGCTGTTGATCGGTCAATCTTCCGAGTTACGAAAGAGTTTCGGTTGGCAAAAACACGATGATCCTCGGTGCAGTTCCAAACCACACGAGCACTTCTTCGCCGTCGGGGTAGACCCCGCCACGGGGGGTGGTGCGTCGGTGAGAGTCGAATGGCGTTGGGGAATGCATTCACACACTCCACACACTCGCACTCCACTCTCCACTCCACACTCGCACAAAAACGCTCCACGCCACGACTCCACGCCGCGATTCACCAAGCAAATGAATCCTCCAACACGCGCCCCTATCACATGTGTTTTAATCACACCGTTCACGATTCTGCAAGGAAACTGAACGAAAAAGCTAATGACTGCTTGTTATTGCAGTTTTCACACACACACACACTCAAGAAATTGCATACTGACTGAAAGCCACTCGCCACATGGCGACCTAGGCAACCGTATTCCTGAGAAGGTCAAGTAAGGGGTTCTGATCATCGCTAGTCATTAGGAGGCCAAAGGTCAAAACCCCGAGGCACCGAAGCGACGACAGGGCGAGATGACGGCGATCGCTCACATCTGCAGAATGCAAAACCGGTGCAATGGCTGGAGTCCTTGTTCTAGTTAAAAGCAGGGGTCAATAGGATGTTTCCGAGTCAGGACATGCAGGTACAAGTGGTTGATCAGACCACTCATCCACTGAAATGCCATAGCTTCGTTGGACTGGATGGGCAAAGCGGCTGCAGTCCCCTGCTGGGAAAATCAACAGATCCCTGTGATTCCAAGGGTTCCACACACACACACACTCTCCTATAGTATACAACCTTTTTAAGTTTCCGCCCACCAGCTTCGCCGGAGGATTGCCTCGTAGATAGAACAAGCAGAAAAGATGGCAGCAGCGAACTCATGGAAAACACATATTTTGTTGGATCAATCGCTGCTCTGAATGTCAATATTTGGTCATTGGGCCACACTGGCCTGCATATGGCCAAGAGACGGAAAGTGTTGCATTTGTCATAGTGTACCCCACTGGAACTGGAACTCGAACTGGAACTGGAACCCCCCCCCGGTTAAAAAAAAGACACTAAAGGGACAATGTCCATCACGTGCAGACTCGGACCCAGAGTTGGAACTGGAATTGGAACTGGAACTGGAACTCGAACTGGAACTGGGACCCCGCCCCCGGCAAAAAAATTAATCGACATTCAAGTGACATTGGCCATCACGTCCAGACCAGACTCGGACCCAGAGTAGGAACTTCGAACTGGAAGTGGAAGTGGAACTGGAACACTCGCCCCCCCCCC